TAATCCTAGCATTTGGGCAGCTGAGGCAGGAGGATTGGCACGAGTTCGAGGCCAGCCTGGGCTAAATAGTGAGTTCAAAGCCAGCTTGAGTTGCAAAAGAAGACCTGTCTCAAAAAGTAAAAACAGAACCAGGTGTAGTGACATAGGCCTGTAATTCCAGCACTTGGAGGCTAAGGCAGGACGATCACTATAAGTTCAAGGCCAGCCTGGGCTACATAGTGAGAGCCTATCTCCAAAAAAAAGAGAAACAAAAGAGAAAGGGAAAAGCACTATTAATGCTGTACTTTAGGAAGCGTAATCTCGGCACTGAGAGTTTGATTGACACAGGGAAAATCTAGAAGAAAGCTAAGTCAGGAGGCTGTTGAAAGGTTAGTAAAAAAAAATTGGGGGAGCTGCAGATGTAGCTCAGTGGTAGAGTGTTTATCTCCCATGCAGGAGGCCCTGGGAGGGAAAAAAAAAATAAAGCTGGATGTGATGGGATATGCTTGTTATCCTAGCAACCTTCCAGCTACTTGGGAAGCTGAAGCAGGAGAATCACAAGTTCCATTTAGGGAGACCTTGTGAAAGTAAAGTGAAAATGGCTGGGGACATGGGCTCGGTGCTCCCTGAGTTCAGTCCCTGTTAGCACAAAGACAAGACAGAACGTATACATTTAGAATTAACGTTTACTCAAAAGTAAAATATTTTACTATTTTACTATTCAGTAACCAGTTTTCCCACGTGTCCAAATTTGGGCAAGGATAGATCTTTACGAGTCATAATATTGTTACGAAGTGCAGGTCTAGAAGCTCACTGCATTGAAGAACCAGTGTGCTGGAGAGACAGAAAGGCTTTGTTCATGGCCAGAGAACGAGGAGGAGGGCGCTTTGCTCACCAGTCAGCTTCTCAGCCCCAGAGCTTACAGATGCAGGGTGGGACTAATGAGGGAGACAGGGTGACTGACAGGAGGCGTGCTCATGGTTTGGGACAGGCGGTCTTGTGGGGTCTTGGCGTAGCGCCTTTGCATCCTTTTATGGTTTGATGCTTCTGGTCACGCCAACCTCCCAAGGGAGTGGGGAGATACGAGGCAGGGCTAGGTCAAGTCGACCCTAAATTATAATTCTGGGAAAGTATTTTGCAAATAACCCATGCACCTGCGTGCGAAGCTGAGCAGAGTCTTACGCAAAGGTTAAGGCAGCGAGGGGAGCTGTATGTGGAGAGGAGCCAAGCGTCTCCATCCCGCTCGGGCCGTTTCGGTCTCCAGCACGTAGCTGCAGGCCCCAGTGGAGAGGCAGCATGTTCAGCAAAAGTAGCCTGCAGGTCCCTGACAGTCACCGAGGAGCTGTTCTAACGCCATGTGTCAGAGGGTCTGCAGCAAAGCTAGAAAGTTTATGCATTGCCCAGAGGTGGGAGGCCAAAATAAATACGTGATTGAACTGACTAAGAGCAAGTAAAACTGAAGGGTGTATTCTGGTCTTCCCTCTGCAGTTGTATGATCAAACTCTAGTAAACTTTTGATAGTTTCTTTGGTAGGTACCTTTCGAAAAAGAGCGCTCTGTTGAGCCAAACCTGCAAATCTTGTGGTGATGAGAGATACTTCATGTAAATCACTTACAGTAATGAGATTAAGTGTATAGACAAAAGGCTAACGCTTCATGAGTAATAAAAAATAACCTCTTAAAACTTTTACAGGCACTTGGAGGCCTTGTTGTAGCTGCTGTGATTAAGTATGCGGATAATATTTTAAAAGGATTTGCAACCTCTTTATCCATAATATTATCAACACTGATATCATATTTTTGGCTACAGGATTTTGTGCCAACCAGGTAAAATATTTTTTATTTCTTTAAATCCCCAAAAGTATATAGAAAAGTAAGAATTCTTACAGTGGTCCTATTATAACTTTTGAGAAGTAATTTTCCTATTATAACTTTTGAGAAGTAAAATTACATTGAAATGTAATTTTAAAATTAATATAACCCTCTTCTAAAATAAATACCTCACACTAAGCACATTGAAAGAAAATGTTTCTACCAGAAACTTTTTGCACAAACTTTGGTGGCCAGCCAGGCGTGGTGGCGCACGCCTGTAATCCCAACGCTGAGGAGGCTGAGGCGGGAGGATCGCCATGAGTGTGAGGCCAGCCTGGGCTGCATAGTGAATTCAAGGCCAGCTTCCACTGCATAGCAAGACCCCATCTCAAAAAGCCCAAACCAAACAAACAAAAATTTGGATGGCCAGAATTTTCCTAATAGGTCTGAATGTTTTTCTACTGAGGTAAAAAAGTCATACAAAATTTTTATAAGTCATATAAAGTCATAAAATAAATCATGCATTTTAAATCCATAAATGGTACAACTAAACCCAGGAGAGTAGATGACATTCCTGAAGAAGATAATTTGTATGGAGAAGGTGGCTCAAGAGAAGCCTCACTTCAGTGAGCAGGCCGAAGGGCAGTTTGGGAAGGAGCTGTAAAAGGAGCAGGGAGAGGTGAGGCGGGAGACCAGGGCCCGGCGGCACTGCGGGTGCCATGGACGGAGGCAGGCTCGGGAGGGGCTCGCTGGGACGTGTGCTCAGGGCAGCTGGCGCTGGAGGCTCTGTGAGTGTTCTGCAGCTGTTAATTTATAATCCCAGACTAATGGCATTGCCTTTTAGGTAGCAGTTTTTTCTTTTGGTACTAGGGATCGAACTCAGGACCTTGCACTTGCCAGGCAGGCACTTATACCACTGAGCTATATGCCTGGCCCTGCGATTTCCTTTTAGTGGCTTTCAGGACACCAGTTTGAGTTTTCTTCCAGCCTTACCCTCTTGCCATATTGCTTAGCCTCTAAATTTTGGTGTCTTATCTCACTCAGTCTCACTTAAATTTGAATTTGAGGCTTGTATTTCTAGTTGCCCGTTTAACATTTCCACTCGGAAGTTCACTTGATGTGCGTTCCCTCTTCCTGGGTGGGTCTCCCCATTTGGTCGGGAGCACCTTCATTCTTCAGTGGCCTAGGCCCACATCTTCCGTGACTCACACAGGAGCACAGCGTATCCGCAGTAACCAAAGGGAAGCGGTATTCTAAATAGGGCTTTGCAATGGTTTATAGGCAGTACTCACGTGTGTGGAACGTCTTAATTTTCTGACGTGGAGTGAGAGAAGTTAGCTCGTTAGTTTATCTTTTGTTTTTAATGCAGAAACGAATTTTGTCAGCCTTTCCTTTTAAAGAGCTCCAGAATCTGGCCATTTCTCACAACCTCCACTGCTCCCACCCTGTCTCAGGCTACTGTCATTCTCATCAGGGTTGAGGAAGTGGTTTTCTGACTTGACTACTTGTTTTTTCTCTCGCCTTAGCATCTTCAGTCTTCTGTTCAACAACCAGAGTGATTTTATTTCCAGTGTGAATCAGATGTATCAGTGCTGTGCTCAGAAGGCCTCTAACTGCTCCCATCTCCGGAGTGGAAATAGGTTACTGGGTTGTTTGATTGGCCCTCAGCTGCTTCACTGTACTCATCTAGTATTACTTCCTTCTTTGTGGTGTTTTCCTTTATTTATTAATTTGTTCAGGTACCGAGAATCGAACTCACGACCTCGTGCTTGCCAGACAGGCACTTTGCCGTTGAGCTCTGTCCCAGGCCCCCTTTTTTTTTTCCCAGTCTTTTTGAAACAGGGTTTCACTATATGGTTCAGGCAGGCCTTGAACTTACTTTGCAGTTCAGGCCAGCCTCAGACTCACAGTGATCCTCCTGCCCCAGCCTCCCGACTGCTGGGATTACAGCTGTGCACCACCGTGCCTGGCGCAGCCCTATGTTATTTTAAAGTTGCAGTGAAACCAGGCTTGGTGAGCACACCTGTAATCCCAACACACTCAAAGGCTGAGGCAAGCGTGTCATAAATTCCAGCTCAGCTTAGTTCAAATATAGCAAAAGCCCTGTCTCATGAAAGGGAGCGGGTTGAGGGGGTATGGGATGCAGCTTGTGCGAAAGCCTTGGGCTCAGTCCTCAGTACAGAGAAGAGAAGGAGGGAGGGAAGAAGGCGAGGTAAACTGTTGTGACCTCTTTTCAGGGCTTTGATTTGCCCCGCCTCTTCTTGGAGCTCTCCTGCATTCATGTGGCATTACTTCTTTTTGTTTGTTTTTTACTTTTTTTTGAGAGAGGGTCTCGCTGTTCAGTTCAGGCTGGTCTTGAGCTCACTGTGTAGCCCAGGCTGGCCTTGAACTCTGAGGCAGTCCTCCTGCCTCTGCCTCCTGAGTGCTGGGATTACAGGTGTGTGCCACCACAGCAGGCCGGTATTACTTTTTAAATTGCAGAATACCTTCCAAGCATTCCAGCCTTCCCTTTTCCCCATCTTAAGAAGACTTATTATCAGCTAAGAAAGCAGGGCGAGAGCCAGGCATGGTGGTGAATTCTTGTAATCCAGCACATGCAGGCTGAAGCATGTGGTTCTCCAATTTGAAGCCAGTCTGGACTACATAGTGAGACACTGTCTCCAAAGAAGAAAGAAGGAGAGGAGAGGGGAGGAGAGGGGAGGGGAGGAAGAGGGCTGGTATTTAGCATACAGTGGATACTGAGTATGTTTACTGGGTGACATTAAATTAAGACAAAATGTCTTAACATTTTAATATGACTATTAAAATTTATTTGCATTAGGGATAGAGATAAGATTATGCATAGAATTTGGCAGTATAGAAATAGGAAGTAGAAGAAATATGTTCTTTATATTTCTATATTTAACATTATGATTTTAATGCTTCTCTAACAACATGAACAGCAGGTCTGGGACATGCATGTTGAGATCTGTACTGTTTCTGAGACAAAAATTTGAAAGTATTGTTTTTCCAGCTTGGAGTAGGAAGGAGTCATTTAGCTGTTGAAACTAGAATAACAATTAACACCTAACGTCTTAATAATGGCTTATTCCTTGTTTAGTAGGTGGGGAACTGTGTGCCTTAATATTGAGGATGTGCGGAACTTGCCCATCCTTGAGGTTTACTTAAAAGTTGATACCATTTTTCAAAAAAAAGTTAAACCTCTTATAAGATCAAAGGGATAAACTTTTAATTTTTGAATTATTCAGGGAATGTAAATATAGTAAATGAAAAAGTAAATCAGTAAAGGAGCAAAAAGTGAATTTTCCTAAATAGGTAAATAACTGCTTTGTCTTTGTGTAGTCGTACTTTAAGTAACCAGCTTTCCCAACCTTCATTCAGGCTTATTTCAAATGCGTTGAAATATGTGCCTGTGTTATCCGCATCCGCCTCCTGAAACCCCTCGGCTGGCTTCTCTGAGTTGTGTGCCTCTACCTGTCTTTCTGCCTGTGCTTTCAGCAGCGTGTCCTTGCTCCTCGCTCGCTTGGCCGTCCGTCTGCTGCTCTGTTGTATCTGTTCCGTGTGAAATAAGGCCCAGTTTCACCTAAGCGCTAGACAGCCCTTCTGAGCACTGAGGGCTAAACTCACGGCCTCGTGCCACTTGGTCACATCCCCAGCCTTCTCCAGTAGATCTCTGTTTACTATTGGCTGCTGGTCATCTTTGCTGGTATCGTATCACTAATTTACTCCTACCAATATTGCATCTCTGATATACTCACTTCTCTAGTTTATTTTTCTTGTACGCCTTATTTTGTGTATTGATCTTACCATGATTCCACTTAGCCTTCTTGTTCTTTTAGCAAATATTATTAAGTATCCACTGTTCTAGCTCCTGTGCTAGATTTTCGAACAAAGAATTGAATGAATGAAGGGTGGGCATGGTGGTGCACACCTGCAATCCCAGCACTCGGGAGGCTGAGGCAGGAGGATCACTGAGTTTGAGGGCAGCCTGGGCTACAGAGTGAGCTCAAGGCCAGCCTGAACTGCATAGTGAGACCCTGTCTCAAAAAGGCAAAGAAAAAAGAAAGAACTGAATGAATGAGCCCCAGTTTCTTGTTTTCGGAGAGGTTACAGACGTGCATAAATGATCAGTGTGGCAGTGGAAGTATATATACGATTTCGTTAGAGAAAGGAGGATCATATCCTTGAGATTATCATGATCTGGTAGTATTTTTCTAACAAAAAATTTCCCCTCATAACCGTTTAAAAGTGCCGGGCTTTCCTGATATTATTCAGTATTCAAATAGCTCCTTGTAGAGGTATCATAGAAGGGTAGAAAGTTGCATCAGACAACTAAATTAAGCACAGTTCTTAGTCTGTGCAGTTCCAGAGTTCTAGAAAGCTAAGAAAAGTTCGTGATGACTAATGAAGGAAGTATTCAGACTATAGTTTACCTAAAGCCTGAAAAATTACCTAATTTTTTACAGTAGTAAGCTCAAGGTATATTATAGAAAGTTTTATGTTCTTTTAATCTTAGATATGTAATTGTGTCTAAGGCCTCCGCGAAGTTACCCATTTACATGCGCACTTGTTACTAATCACAGCTGTCATGGAGCTAACTACGCTAGGCACTAGTGGGGCAGCAGCAGGTGAATAGCACATGGGTGAACAGAGGAGCAGGTGAGTGGGTGATGCGTTACGTGCAGCGTTTGGAGGAGTGTTGTAGCAGCGTAACTCTGCCTAGGGGAACGAGTCTCACACGCAGTAGACCTGAACTGTTACGACAACATTTCCTTGAGGAAAGGAAATTGTAGACTGAGAGCATGTCTGGAGACACCGTCATGGTAGAGCATGACAGAGTGGGATGAGTGGGCTGGCTGGCCTAAGCTTGGTGGGGAGGAATCTGGGACAGAGAGGTTAGGGAACCATGCTGTGAAAGATCACGGATGTCATAATGAGGATCTTTTTTTTTTTGAGACAGGGTCTCACTATGTACTTCAAGCTGGCTTTGCAGTCATCATCAGACAAGGCCGAGGTAGCCCAGGCTGGCCTTGGCAATCCTTCTGCGCTGGTGTTACAGGCATGTGCCACCATGCCTGGCTGAGGATCTTCTGCTTTCATAGCAGTTTTGTCTTTTTTAAGATCAGAAGAATGACTGTGGACTGTTAATAGAAACTTTAGAACCACCACTAATTTATGCCTCAATAACAGCATTAAAAAGTATACATCTGCTGGTTGTGGTGGCGCACACCTTTAATCCCAGCACTCAGGAGGCTGAGGCAGGAGGATCTTGCGAATTCGAGGTCAGCCTGAGCTGCAAAGTGAGTTCAGGGCCAGCCTGAACTGCACAGCGAGACCCTGTCTCAAAAAGACCAAAAAAAGGAAAGTATACAGCTGAGTGTGGTGGCGCATGACTATTATCCCAGCACTCAGGAGGCTGAGGAGGGAAGATTACTGTGAGTTTGAGGCTAGACTGAGCTATATAGTGAGTCTCAAAAAAAATCGTATGCCGATTAAAAGTTTGATTAGGTTCATTTCCAATTTATATGGGGTAGATTACATATATAGGTAGATCAAAAAAGAAAAACCGTGAGCTCCCTGGAGTTAATGGAATTTCCTTTTGTTAAGCATCTTATGGAAATGAATTCTGAACTTTGGGTATTACCTTGGATTTTAAATTGACCTTACTGGGATTTGACATAAAGAATGAAATTTTCCTTTTATATTTTCAAATAAAGAATTGAGACCTTTTATCATTGAATGGATTGCACGCAGAGTCCATATTAAGGTGAAATAAAGCATATTAAGTTTTTGTTTTGGGACACCTTATAGAACAGTAGATGAGAGTGCAGGCTCTAGAGTCAGACCCACCTAGACTGGAATCCTGTTTTCCGTTTCATCTGGTGGGACTGTAGCATTTATTGAAACTCTAAACTTGTTTTCCCGTAGGTAAAAAATGAAGCTAATACTAGCACTTCTTAACAGGGCCCATTGTGAAGACTGAGATAATGTGTATAAAGCACTTCAGTACTTACAATGTAGCCTGGGCATGGGTGGTGCATGCTTTATCCCAGCACTTGGAAGGCTGAGGCAGGAGGGCCACTATATAGTGAGTCAAGGTCACTTGTTCCATTATGTAAAATTTGATAAAATAATATTCGGGGCCTGGTTCGTCAGAGGGTAACACTCATGTGTAAACTTAGACCCTGTCTCAAAAACAAAAAAACGCTAGTATGTAGAAAGTATTCTATTTATCTGTCTTCCTGGAACATCCCCTTCCCCTAGTATTACTGTTTTAATAAAGAGTGTAGAAAGATATTTTGCCTTTATTCTGATTTTCATCTTTCTGATTTTTCATTTTATTTAGTGTCTTTTTCCTTGGAGCCATCCTTGTAATAACAGCTACTTTCTTATACGGTTACGATCCCAAGCCGGCAGGAAATCCTACTAAGGCGTAGTCACGTACTGTCTATTACTGGCTTTCATGGTGGTGCACTAGGAATCTCAACATGGATTTCCACAGAGGCTGTCTGCAGATTTTCTGAAGATACCGTCATCCTGAATCTGATCATATTGTTCAAAGGTTTGAACAATGTACATGCTTAAGGATAAAGCACGTGCTGTATACATAACAAATCACATGACACCTAGAATTCAAAACTTGGAAGTATTTCCAGGCATTAGAATTAGAAGAAATATTGTGGGAAACTTGAAATCTAAGTTTAAAAGAATCTACCTTTTTGATTGCTGCAGAAATGTCCTATGCACTCTATGTAAGAGCACACAAATATCAGATATGAATTTTTGCAAATTAGATGTATTTACTCTTATTAAATGTTTTTATCTTACTCTTCCTGTAAAAATGTCTCAAATCACATGGAGTATTCAAAATGTGAAAAATCTAATTACCTATAAAGCTGTGAAAAAAGAGAACTATGATTTGAAAAACATTTTCACATATCTGAGATTTTTATATTTATACAAAGGGTTATTCAACCTAGGATTGCTAAATATTACTTGTTCCATTGTGTAAAATTTGATGAAACAATATTTGGGGCCTGGTTCGACGGAGGGTAACACTCATGTGTAAACTCAGAGTAGGGAGACAGCTGCTTCCCCACCTGAACCCTGAGACCTTCGGTGCTTTGCAGCAGCTGAGAACAGCCGGCTGCTCCTCTGCTCGGCGGTGGCTGGAGAGGTTTACGATAATGAAGTTTTACTTGCATTTCTTTTCTATAAATCAGATAAAACTTTAATATTACTTTAAGTTTGTATGTGTTAATTGTCATTAAAGTTTTAAAATATAATCTAGTTGGATTAAATACTCGTTTATTAATTTAAAATAATCATTTCTAATATCTCCATTTGGAAAATTTTGAAATATCAAGCATATATTGTATACAACTAGAAAGTTTTTAAATGAATATTTTGTTCATTGATCTGTAGAAATTTCCCTTATAACTATTGAAAAAAACCACTGAGAAGATAGTAGTACATATAAGAGTAAGAATAAGACCAAGAATAGCCAGTCATGGTGGTATACACCTTTCGTCCCAGCACGTGGGAGGCTGAGGCAGGAGACTGCTGCAAGTTTGCAGCCAACCTGGGCTGCATAGTGAGTTTAAGGATTACACAGCAAGACCTTGTCACCAAAAAAAAAAAAGAGTGGACCATGACCAAAATGACCTTTCTTATAGACATTCCTTACTGACATATTTTATTACTTTAAGTAGCTATATAACTTTTAAAAATGGAAGTCTGGGCAAAACATCTTTGCAGATCTCTTATAAGCCTGCTGTCCCCAGGGGCACTAGGACCTTGTGACTGGGAGAGGTAGCTGAATTCTGAACCCCTGTGTCCCCGTAGAGCTGCTGGAAAGGAGCCACCATTTTGCTTTAAAATAGTGGGTTTTTTTTCCTTTTAACACTGGAGCTGAGAATGCAAATTGCATGAATCATGTAATAAGCTGGTTCAGAGGAGAGAGAGTATATTAGAAATAGTAAGATGAGTTATCGGGCAGATACACTTCTATAATTGGGGTATAGGTTTAATTTAATTATGAGCTATATACAGAATGACCTATTGAGTATAAGAAGTATTTTATTTTTTCATTTATACTGTATATATTTTTAAAGACTTCTAATAGAAAGACTGTAAAAATACTTATTTTTATATAGTCCTAATGGATTTTGTTAAGTAGAATTTGACTCAAAAATGCTGTTACAAACTATTGGGTACTCTTGGCTAACGTGGACTGTGTTACCTTGATAATGCGACATAGCCTGCACATGTTAGATGGGACCAGCTTCAGCCAGGGCTTAAAACTGCTAAAGGTTACAAGACACTTAAAATCAATTTGCTGCTGATAACAAAATGGCACCAAGCAAATTTTCTGGATGCCAGAGTTGAGATTTTCACTGACCACCTTTTAGAATATTTTGTTTAATAACTTTACCTCATTTTGAACATGATATTTTTAAGGCTACAGCAACATTTAGGCTTACATCCTATTTCCTACTACTAAGAGAAATTAAATTTTATAAGTACATAGAATTCAAGACTAAAATATATTCAGTTCACATTGAAGTATTGCTTGGGGAATTATGTATTAATGCTGTGTGTATTCACATTTGTTAATTTAGGCTTAGTCTGCCCTATTTTAAAATTTATTACCAGCATTTGTTGAACATTAAGTATGTTAAAGTAATTACACATTTTCAGGTGTCTAGTTTTCAAGATTCCATATAAGGGTTGTAAAAATATAATTAAGAGTTGCGAACATGGGCAAAAGTATTTTCAAAGCCAATTTTCATTAGGTATAATTTATATTTTGCTTTTCTAGTAGGTTTGAAGCTGACTGGGCTGCATAGGTTCTAATCTTTAATTGATAAGGAGGTACTCATGTTTGAGAAGGTGGACTTGTGTCCTTGGATCGTACCGTTATACAGATAATGCCATTTTGTGTCAGTGGCTTGTGTTTTGATGACCTTCGAAGGCCTTATTACATCAAGCTTTTATAGCAGCGACTCATGCTTTACATTTCTATCCTTTACAAGTGAGTTTGTTATCTCTCAGCTACCTCGGTGTAAAATGCGCTCCCTGATGGGGAAGACTGCCACGCGATCGGCTCCGTGAGACGCGGAGAGGACGGTATTGGGAGGAAAAGTCTGAGACGCGGCAGGTGTTTTAAGACAGTCATGTTATATTGTCAGTTCTTTAGTGGTTTTGGAGACACCATAAGCTCCGTTCACGGGGATTGTGTAGGTTAGAGATGCAAAATTTAAATGTTTACACCCATTTATTTTGAATGTCACAAAACTTCATAGAAAGGAAAGGCAGTTTCATATTTAAACGAGGTTCTAATAACAGAATTTGAAAGGAAACTAACTGACATCTTGGTCTATACACTTAGTATAATTGTGGATATTCTTACATATTGAATTATTAGACTTTTAAAATGTCGTTGTACAAGTGTTTTTAAAGAAAGGGTTAAGCTCCATTCATTTATGTGTCCACTGTAAACATTTAATTATTGTACCGTGTATGCTTTGCATTAGAAAAGGTTCGTAGAAGTTATCTGTGCTATACCGAGTCATCTGAAGAACCTCCAGGATACTTAAAGTAGTTATAGGGCCAAAGAAACAGCACCTTTATCAAAATCTGGTCCTGTGTGCCTTGCTCTACCAAATACCTGACTTTTCTATAATTCACAATGTTAGAACACAGGAGCAAAATTAGTTTCAAGATTAATTATAATTTTTTTTCTTTTTTATTTTCAAGACTTGCTCTTTAAGTCTATTACCTAAAAAATTAAAATAGGTATACTATAAAAGCATTAGTGAATAGCACTCATTAAATTAATTGTGGCAACTTTGCACCATCATGCAATTTTTTAAACTTTTTAATAGTTGTATATAAGTGTCATTTTGTCATTTCATTTCTTATGATGTAATTACTGTAATTTAAAAAATATTTTTGAATGATTTGGATGCTGAATTTGTCTATGTCTGTATTTCATTTGCATAGAAAGATTCTTTTGGGTTTGGGACTGAGATTTGTATATTTAAATTTTTTTGTGTATTTAAATTTTTTATGGATATAATACAAAGAAATACATAAATTGGTCTTTTGTTAAGTCACTTTTTCATTGATATATTTCTCTTGTCTTTTTTGATATCCATTATCTATTTAATAGATTATTGAAAAAGATTATTTTTAAAATCTATATAGATTTTTCTTGTATTTCCTCGTTTTCCTTTTTATTTGTATCTATGGCTTACTCAGTGAATTAGTCTCTTTTTATAGCAAAGTAAATTTCTTTACCTCTGTGTAATTTTTTTTCACGCTTGATTGTCCTTTGCTCTAGCCTGTGCTCTAGCATGAAAGACTGGGTCTTATTTAAACTAGTTAGAATTTATCTGTATGAGGGTAACAGCCTAAACATACTCTATTTTAAATAAAATGTTTCTCTGCTAGCTTCATGGTTAAGTAGAGTAATTCATTATATATTGTTTCCCCAATTTGAATAGTTATTTCTGTTGTGACTATCAGTCGATTCATGAAGATCAAATGTAATACGCACTGTATAGGATTTTATTTCTGTGTCCCCTGAAATTCTACACAACACGCTTTATTTTAAAAGGTCTCTAAAGTAAGAATATCAGCTTTTTTTTGCTGGGTGTGGTAGTACATGCCTCTAATCGCAGCACTTGGATAGCTGAGGCAGGACTGTGAGTTTGACATCATCATGGGCTGCATAGGGAGATCCTTTCTCAGAAAAATAAAACAAGCCGGGCACAGTGGTGTATACCTGTAGTCCCAGTACTTGGGAGACTGAGGCAGGAGGAAACAAAAACAAAATAAACAGTAAAATAAAAGTAAACAAAATAACAAAATATCAGTTTTTTGTTTGTTTTGAGACAAAGTTTCACTATACAGTTCAGCCTGGCCTTGAACTTGGGATACAGGTGTGTGCCACCGTCCCTGGCATCAGCATTTTAAAAATTATGCTTTTTTTAAAAAAAGTAACTTGAA